TCAGCTGGTCAAAGACACTGTGTACTAGGAAAGAGGTTGAGGGATGACAACACCAGTGACGTTGCATGGGTGGCTTCATGCTATCTACAACTCAGGATTTCAGTTCCTGCTGATCAAAAGAATGTGCCTGGTCCCCACAGCATATTTGAGTGCAAATCTCAAAGAAGCACAGTGGGGTTCTGAAAAGGTTACAACCCCTGCAAGTCATACGCTTTTATTTCCCTAAGTTTTCAATTCATGTATCAAAATCCCTGATCTCCCAACAGCAAACTCCCACTTCTGTATTTTGTGATTCAAGACAGGCTAGCCCTCCTTGAAGACCATCAAAGCTCCGCTTTGAAATTGATTCCTTTTGTATTAGAAGTATTTGTATGTTAAACAAACTCCTTAGGGGAAGTAAGCTTTTTACAAAGTTTGCAAGGAAATATGAAAAGCCTTTTTTCTTTTTTTTATAATCTCTTCATTATCTAGCTCAGTACTTTCAACAGTTCCTGCTACCACAGAAGTAGCAGTTCATGTATATGATGTCATATTAAATATATTTGAGATTAAATTATATGTTTTTTTCCTCTTTATACAGACAAAGGTTAAAGATGGACAGATAATGTGAATTTGTCCAAGGAAATTGAGAGATTTGTAGCAAATGAAAGAATTAAAATGTAGTCTCCCAAACACAGGGCTTTAAACAGCAGATCATCCTTCCTCTCCGATGTGACTGCACCATGTCTGTCCTGATCTTTAGTGCACACATTGACAAGTCCAGAATTATAACAAGCTGTGAACTTACAACACTCTTCACCATTTAGCTCACTGTACACTGATATAAAGTCAAATGAAATTAAAAAAAAACAAACCACTTTAAAGTCTTTGAGTGATCTGTAATCAGGTAGAACTCTACCTAGATATCCAGTATTGTGATCAAACAGGAAAGAGAATCTAGTTTTTATATCTAAATCATGAGAACAAATTTAGGAAGGGAAGTCTGTGTGATGCTTGTTTTAATATCGTGGGTTCAGGTACTGCACACAATTATTTCTAGGGATAATTCTTCATCTTAAAGTACTTGTGTCTTGAATGAGAATAATATTAATGTATGGGACATTGGTTTGTCCTTTCATAATCTTACTTTCAGATGAGCAATGCTCTTGTAAACATCATAAAGCTCTTACTTACTAGACCCTTTTGGTCAAGTAAACTTTTAAGCAAGTAATACTATGGTTCAAGGCAATTCAAATCACACATATTCTTGTCTACATTTACATGAGCTTTCATTATCTTCCCTCAGTTATTATTATGTAAAGTGGTAACAGAGGAGAATTTTATGTACAGTCCTGCTTCTAAATTTTTACCCTAATCACATCATCCATCTGTAAGTCCAGCAAATTTAATTCCCACAGGGCAACTAGCTCTATGAAAAGGGTTAGAATATTTTACTTCAAGGAAGAATCCCAGCAAGACCTAACATAGTATTGCAGTAATACTGCATGGTCTAAGCTCTATCTTATTATTATTCTTCCAACGTGATCACTATGCAACATTTAATGTTCATTAGCAAGAATATTTATTCTGGAGTCAGGCATATTGGTATTATAATAAGAACTCAATTTCATACATCCCAGAACAATAATTAGATTTGTAAAAAGACAAGTATGTAGACAATGGTCAATAGATCAAAAGTGTTTACTGCACAGAGGTATCTTTTATGACTATTCAGATATTAATTTTAACAGGCTTCACACACTAAAACTAACTTACCATGGTGTCAGAGAATATAGGACATGTGTTGATTAAGTCACACTGGAGATCATCTAGGTCATGTCCTCATTTGTTGTGAAATGTATGGTTGTGAAACTGCAGTAAAAACTGATACTCTATTGCACTGAGTACTGATGATATTGTTCCAATCATACCATAATCATCACAGAGAAAGGTAATTCAGAGTATGTTCTATAAGGTACCTGATTGTAGGGGATTGCTTTCAAAATATTGTTACTATTTATATATTCAGTAAATTTTGTGCATAAAGATATATGTATGTCACTTGGAATTCAGATAATAAAAATCTTTTTTGAACATGTTAGCTCACATATTTACCTCATTTACAAATACAGAATAATAATATGGTTATCAGGTTTCCCAAAACCTGACTACATCAGTGTTTCTAAGAAACATTACCTAGGTTGTACATTCAAACTATTCCCATTTGTGAATTACCCTTACAAATATAGCAAAAAACTGTCTGAATGCACTTGGAAAGATAAAAATGAAATTCTTCTATTGCAATATTGATGCCTCTTGCCAAACCCATACACTATGTTTGCAATAAAACTTACCACATATTTAGGTATGTTCATCCAGGATTTCCACACAGCTGGTTTCAATAACATATTGTTTCATATAATGCTTTATTAGTACATTTTCCAATGTTAAAATACTTCGTAAACTTTTCAGATCACAGATTCTTTGCCAACAATTTGTTCTGAAGAGCCTTTCAGGTATTAGCTTTTCTTATTACATGCAGTTGTTCCCTAAATCACACTGCATACTTTTTACCATTCAACTGAATAACAAACACACCTCCAGTGAACCCATTTCTGACGTACATATAGCCATATGAGGGCAGGAATGTGCTGGTTTGCATGTGAATAGAGCCATTCCTTGAAATTCCCAGAAAAAAACCTACTTGTTCAGAAATTTGTCATAAAAGTGAACAAAAGGGATGTGAGGCTGAAGAAGGCAGAGACAGTCAAAAAAAAAAAAGCTCATGAAAATGGTCGGCATTATTTTACTTATTTTACTAATCACAGACTAATATATGATGACATATATGTATGGCATGAATATGATGCAGTAGCTTAGCTACTCCTCCAGGAAAGGAAAACCCATTGCTTCTGAGTCATGAATTAGGAAAAGAAATTCATAAGCAAATAACATTGCATACTGACATTATGGAAGAAATGAAAATTGCTAAAAACCAAGATGGCTTTGATATCATGAATGAAAACATTCCCAAGAACAAGAACAGGAAGAGAAGGAAGGTGTGGAGATTTAAAATTATCCCAGAGTAACAGGTATGTGGGTGCTTTAAGCTCCTGGGAGAGAGATGACTTCACTCTAAGATAGGTAGGCTAAGGTTTGGGAAATCATCCCAGCTACCACCTTGCAGATTCAAATAAAACCCCATGTCCAGAAGAAAGGGAAAAAGGGGGTTAGACAGCACTTTGTTAGGTGGAAAGGGCTGTTTGCGAAGCTGAATTAAAACAAAGAATTGTTCTTGCTAACATTTAGCTGGGCAGAACTGCCTTGTTTTGTTGGTCAGAAAATAAGCCCAAGAGATTTTACACAAAACACACTACAGTGCCCATTCTGCTGGCTGGCAAAAGGCAACAAATGCCCACCTCAGTATGACCCCAAAGGAGGCAAAAGCAAAACCCCAATCAAATTACCTTTTTTTTTCCAAGAGTTAAAAAAAAAGATGAAGAATACACAAGCACCGAAATTAGAATGACTAGTTTATCTCCCCTCTAGGAAAGCCGCACACACAATTTTAAATTTCAAAAGACCACACAGCTAATGTTTTTCCAGTTTAGTGCCCAAAAGAAAAACAAACCCTCAGTTTGATGGAAAGAAACTGAAGTACTTTTTTGCTTTTCTTGTTGAGAGTGCAAACCCAAAGAAGCTAAAACATAATTATGGTACCACCCTACTGTGGCTTCCATGGTAAGACAGCATACAGAAAAGCAGGCAATAAAACCATTCCAGCTGTCTGTTACAGACAGACAAGTAATCCAGTCAAAGGAGAAACTGATACTGAGCCCATTTCAGAAGACTCACTGTGCAGGAAGTGTGGATTTAAAGTTCAAACCAAGAGGAGGGAACTGAGTTTTATTTTTGAATCCCAAAAGGGTATTGAGTAAAATATAGATGCTTTATAACCAGTTTCTAAAAGCACTATCTTCAACAAAAAGTTTAATTTGTCCTGAAATTAAATTTTACAGGGTATCATTTTAAGAAGAAAAAGTGATTATTTTGGAAGGTTAATCTAAGAGATTCTTTTCCCTTCAATCCAAGCTTAAAATGAAAATTTAATTACAGTCATAAATACTCTTTAATATAAGTTTTGTTTAGCTATATTGCTGTATTTTTGAGCCATCAGTTGTAGGAATGGACTGACACAACCAGAATTGTGGAAGTGTTTTATCTGAAGGACCACTAACCAGTATAGACTTTAATATATTATGTCAGCATTTTATGTCTTCATAAGGAATGCTTATTATGTTTAAAAAGTTACAGGATAGGACTACTTCATTAAGTTCTTTTTTTTTTAAGAATTCATGTGCAGAATATCTGATTAACTGGGATGTACCTCATTCCTTTTTCCAGACACTTAACAAGGCATTCCACCACTTCAGGTTCACCACTTCCAGAATACATCAGTACATTAGGAAAACATAAACCTCTCCTTTCTGGTTCCCTCTGAAAAACCTCTAAAATATTTGCTCTCTTAAATTCTGTCCAGAGACACTCTCTCTGTACCCCAAGTGAAACTGATAAAACACACCTGCCAAAAGCAGCAATAAGAAACTATGAAGCTTGATATGTAAATCTTATGGCAATAAAAATATGAGTGGATAAATTTAAACATCACAATCTGAAGGTCAAGATGTTAAAAGCATCTGTGTTTTCTAAAGATGCTGGAATATATCAGTTAAAAATATTAAGTGCTTTAATGACGTCTTCAAAACTAGTTTCTCTGTCCCTTGTGAACTGTGAGGAGCAACAACTGTAGATAACACAATGACAGTAAAAATGAAAAAAACCTTAAAACTCTGGTGAGAGAACACCTGGGAAAATGTAGATGGTGCCAACCACCACTCATAAGTATTCGTAAGTAATAAACAAATAGAGGAAGCAATGCCAGACCCATTTATTTCAGCAGTGCAACTTTTGTTTTAAAGAACATTTCTATCACAAGAAAACAGGCAGTAAGTCACTAATACCTGATACACCTTCACGATATTGACAGTTCCCTCTCCATGCTGGCCTGGGGATCCTTGGCTTTGCAGCAGATTTCTCACTGTCTCCTCCATTCTAAAGAATGAAAATATTTATAAAAGTCAACTGTGTGGAAAAAAAAATTAAGAGTTGTATTCAGTGTTTTTGTTCTTTACAAGAGCCTAATGCATCCATGGCTACCACGAAATTAATATTTAAAGACAATCCTGGCTTTATAATTTTCTCATACTCCATGTTATGAATAACACATTAAGGGCACTCTTTCATCTTTTGAATATGCACGGCAATTAGTTGCATTGTTAAAATCCTACTGGAGCTCAGTAACAAAAATTAAAAACAAATGTGTGCAAAAGACATCACCTTGTCAACAGTGTATCCAAACACCATGATAAAATTACTGTCAGTTAGGAACAGAATCAGTCACATTAAAAAAAACCCAACCTGCTGTATTTCTAGCCAGTTGTCTGGTTTGTGCAATTTAGACACTGTCAAATACATTACCAGTATTTACTTTCTGTGTTATATAGGTACAGCAGTGTGTACCAGTACATTTGTTTATAGAGGCACAGCTGCTGAACATTCACCCTTCTCTGCCCTTTCAAAGGGATGTAAAAAGCAAGTGTAGGCTCCAATCTGGTACTATCGTCTCATGAAAACATAATCAACTTCTGTTCCATCAGTGAAAGAAGGAAGGTTTGCATACCATTTTACAAGGTGTTAATAGACACCATCAAAAGTTGTCTTTGATCTACATGCATTCATCAAGCATGTTAAAACTGATAATAACACCAACCCTCCTGAATGGAGGCTGGAGAGAATAGGGTTTTGGTCCTTCACCCAGTAAGACTGCTGAGAATAACAGAAGCCAGCTACAAAACACTGGTCCCATTTAAGATGGATCAGAAATTAAATCCCAAGGTTTTAGGAGATGTAACTGAGGCTGACCACAGATAAAGGTTCTGGTTTCAGCTGGGAAGGGGAAGAAATGGATCAAAAACTGGAGAAGCAGTGATGAAAACAGCAACAAAGATGCTGCGTTTCGTAACAAAAAGTGCTATGTGCCAGTTCCAGGCAAAAGTCCCCAATGTTTTGCCCCACTCCCAATCTCCTCATCCGAAATCTGACCCCTGTACAGCTTCTTCTATGGACACAGTAATTATCCTCACTGCCCCTTTCATGTTTTCTGTTCTTTTCCTTTTAAGCTACCTCAGTCCCTTGACTTAGTTGGAAAAACAGCCCAGCTGGAACAGGGGCTTGAAGAAGGGAAAACTTCTGTGGCACAGGTGTGTGGGTGACATGAAGGCAGGGGAGAGAGAGAGGGATACCTTAAGCCACATTGACAGATACACTGTGTATTAAAACTGACCCTAAAGAAAGAGCCAGTATTCCTAGGCATATCAGGCCAGAAACTGCCTGCTGTTGTTTATTTCTCCTGTGTTTAGGGAAATATGACTTCTGTGTACCATTCACAGCAAATACAATTGAGCAGAAGAATTATTCACAGTATCTTTTTTGTTTGTTTTATTTCTAAGGTAACAATCCAGAAAGACAGCAAATATTAGCTAACTCCTCTGACCAGAGGCAAATAACTATTTTTTTACACAAGCCTCATAGTCTTTCTGTTCTTTCAGTCTTATCAGAATTAATGGTATGGGCTAATTTAGCAATGATATGATGTTTTGCTAGCTTTTGTCCTTTCAAGTCAGCCAGCTACACTACTTTTTCTGTAGATGCTGACACTGGGTATTCATTCTAATCAGATGAACACTGACATTTACTTATTCATATGATGGATTTTTGTCATTGATGTGCAGACTTCTACATTGCCAGAATGCCCACAGAATACTTGGACCATCTGTTGACCAAATGTGCATGAAAACAAGCCAGCTCTAATCTCTAGCGCAGACAGGGGTGCAGTTTTTCAGTTGCAGATTGGAACCATTTATGCTCATAGGCTGACCTTAATCACATGCATTTTACACAGAAGACCAAATCCTTTTGGTTCATATCATAAATTCCTGTGTACTCCTCACTGAAAGATTTCATTTCTTAACATGGTCATCATTTCCCTTTTAAATAACGATGTAATAGGATTCTTCATTGCTGTGTTTATATATGCATACACAGCTCCAGCTCTAGTCCTCCATAATGTTCTTACAAATTAACAAATAAGGAAAAATGGGAGAAGGAATAGATCCAACTATCACTAAAAGCAAGAGTTTTTCAATTTAGGCCTAATAGTATTAGGAGAAAATATAGTCTAGTTGCATACTAGTATCATCAGTTAAATCAGCTCAAAAAAATTATGAAGAATTCTTAAATGCAATAGGTCATTTCATCTTCAGTCAAATTTAGATGGTCTCTTTTGGACAAAAGGCCCAGCCAAAGAGTCAAACAGTCTGTCAAACAGGGACTGGCAAGCGCAGTGTCATGTGGCAACTAGATATGCCTCCAATCAGCACTCCATTTCTATGCAACAGAATAATCTTCACAACATGACAAAGAGCTCAGTTAAACACAGTTGAGACTCGTTTTCTTGCTTGCACCTATTACAAAAATGTTTGTAAGAGTTGACAGCCATAAATCTGAACCGCAGGCATAGAGACACTGTGTGGTCATGTCACTATGAAACAGCACTGAGAGGATCTTACAAGCCTTAGTTACCCATCAAATATCTGAAAGAGGAAAGAAAAAACTATTTTCTGTCACAGAAGGAGGTGAAATATGTTTAAAGTCAAATTTACTGTAAAGCTCTGATGGCCCCTGCCCTTGCAGTTTATAAACTGCTTTGCACTAGCACCCCAGTTGTCCATTTGCAGGAAGAACTGCTTAAACAAACACGGTGCAGGATAATAATCAAGGCTTGTTTCTTATGAATTAAAACTTCTGAAGCATGAATTAACGGCACCTTAATTGAAAAGTGATTGTTATATTATGATCTATAATACTCTCCACAGTGACAGTACATGCCAGAAGGATTTAGTATAAACGCTTTTAAAGAATGCAAGAATAGTTGAGCCTCTATAAATTTAACTTGAAATCCCATGTTCTGCTCCCCAGACAAGGCTTCCAAAGGACGTGTATATTTTGGAAGTGAACCAGAAACATTAGGAGCTTTATGAAAGGCTATTTCTGCACACTGACTTTTTTTTTTTTTCCCCTTCTGGTAACCATGAAAGGTTATCTTCTCTGGGTCATTATTCTAACATACTAGATGGACCCACCCCAACGAAAGCACTTGCTGATTACAGCTAGAATAGCTGTTCTCCACACGTGCATTCTGCCTGCTTGATGGACTATGCTAAAAAAACTGTTTGGCCAAAGATTCTGTGTATCTTATGTAACTACCAAGCTGTTAACAAGCTGCGGAAATGATCTCCAAAGCTCACCATTCCTGAGTCTACACTCTTCAATCACTATTTATGAACATTTATTTTCCCCTTTCATTAGTGTTCTATTTACTATGTCTGAAGCTTCTCACTTAGTACCACTTTTTTTATGTTACATCTATTATTTGAATCGAAAATGAAATTTTTCTTAAAACTGAAGTGTTCCTTTCAATTTTTTTTTCTTTTAAAAAAGGGATTTTTTTTTTTTTTTTAGGGAAAAATAAATGAAACCCATGTTTGATAGAAACTCCTGAAGTTTCTTGGCAAAACATCAGTTTAGAGTAGGGAAACAGTCCTCTGGCAGTCCTAACCAAAGGATAAATTTCTTGAGGCATAAACCAGAAGTGAGGCACTCTAAAACCAGATTCTGTTCATAGAATATAAAGGTTTAAGGAATATAAAATATTAATGCTACTGTGGAAAGCACTGACAAGATTTCATCTGGAATACTACTATCTGGAATTAGAATTACCAGTGTTCAGGAGTGACTCATTCAGAGAAGATTCAGTTGAAGAGACAGCTCTGAGGTTATTTAGAGAAATTGAGAGTCTGTTTCATTGTCCTGGGTTCAGCTGTAACAGTCATTTTTCTCCTTCTTAGTATCTGGTGCAATTCTGTGCTTTCAACTTCAGACTGAGAACAGTGCTGATAACACACCAGCATTTTTAGCCAGCTCAAATACGAAATCCTAGTTGTCCAGGAATTTTAGAAGTCATCATGGACTGGCCAGAGGACGACGATTTTGGAATGTCTCCAGAGGAGGAGGTGATGCGTGCTGAAGAGGCCCCACCGTTTAAAAACTGTCAGAAAGTGAAAAGCAGTATGCCTTGTTTACTGATGGGTCCTTCCGTATTGTGGGAAAGCATAGGAGATGGAAGGCAGCTGTATGGAGTCCTGGATGACAAGCTGCAGAAACTGCTGAAGGAGAGGGTGAATCGAGTCAGTTTGCTGAGGTGAAAGCCATCCAGCTGGCCCTGGACACTGCTGAATGAGGAAAGTGGCCAGTACTTTACCTCTATACTGACTCATGGATGGTAGCAAATGCCCCGTGGGGATGGTTGCAGCAATGGAAGCAGAGCAACTGGCAACGCAGAGGTAAACCCATCTGGGCTGCTGCACTGTGGCAAGATATTGCTGCCAGGGTGCAGAACCTGGTGGTGAAGGTACGTCATGTAGATGCCCATGTACCCAAGAGTCGGGCCACTGAGGAACACCAGAACAACCAACAAGTGGATAAAAAGGGCTAAGATTGAAGCGTCTCAGATGGATTTAGATTGGCAACATAAGGGCGAATTAGTTTTAGCCTGGTGGGCTCATGACACCTCAGGCCATCAACGCAAAGATGCAACATACAGATGGGCTCGTGATCGAGGGGTGGGCTTAACAATGGACACTATTGCCCAGGTTATTCACGCCTCTTTGGTTGAAGCACAAATATGGGGAGCCTTGGCAGATTGGCCATATGACACTTCCACCAACCCGCCAAGGCAAGCGCCATGTGCTTACCATGGTGGAAGCAACCACCGGGTGGCTGGAAACATACGCTGTGCCCCACGCCACTGCCCGGAACACCATCCTGGGCCTTGAGAAACAGATTTTGTGGTGACACGGCACCCCAGAGAGAATTGAGTCAGACAATGGGACTCATTTCCGGAATAACCTTATAGATATTTGGGCCAAAGAGCA